AAGTCTCTGGAACCTTCTAGAAGCTTCTTAGTTGGTAGAAGATGTTAGGGACGTAGTCTTTAAAACCTTCTAGAGATAAGTTTCTAAAACCTTCTAGAAGCAAGTCTCTGGAACCTTCTAGAAGCTTCTATAGTTGGTAGAAGTTGCTTGAGAAGCTTCCTAAATAGGAATATATATTCGAATCGAGGCTGAAGAGTTCTTCAGTCTCGATAACACATCTCTTGGAGCTCTAGCTCACCTCTCTAGTGTTGTTCTTATATTCATCTGATTAATCTAGTTCTTGCCAGTTCTTCTTGAACTTCTTGTTAGATCTCGAGTCTATATTTCTGTGTCAGTGACAATAAGTGATTCCTTGAGGTTGGGAAAGTGAATTGTCTTTTGGTACTTTGCTTGAAGCTGGTCTCAATCTATGGCTTCATACTTGTCATGTTTCTTTAAGATTTTGCTAAAAGCAACTTGTGAATGTGCTTTTACAAGCTTAAACTTGGTTTTGGTCCACTCTATAAGAGTCATCTATAAGATCGAAGGATGTGTATCTCTTTGCTTGTAGATCAGCAATTGCTAGGTGTTGGTTAAGTACAACATTATATGACATAGATAGGTATTGGGCATGTAGGAAGGAAAAGACTAGACTAACGGTCTAATAGACACTCAAGCAGATTCATGATTTCGTCTAAACCTAATAAGTTCTAACTTTCTACAAGTTATATTTTGAGAGGTGAATTGATTCTAAAACTTATGAGAGGTAACACTATGTATATACATATAATAAATAAAAATTATAAATCATAGAAAATTGAGATCCAAAAATTTAAAGACAAATTACTAAACATCTAAATTCTTGTACCTCAAGAATCTCAAGTATTCCTTCTATGTTTTCACATAGAAATTATCTCTGTACTTATCTAAAATCTCCACAATTCTTGATTTTTTTATAGTCAAACAATTCAACTTTAAAACTATCTTCAATTTATCTATCAATTTTATTTATTAATATTAACTTATTTTCTTCAATTTATTTTTTACACATCTATATCTTCATTATCTTCATCTTTGTCTTTGTCTACTTTAATACAATCTTTGTACATCTATATCTTCATCAATTTCATTTTGTCTGTCTTTTTTAACCTAATCTTCAATTCTTCTTTACATCTTGCAACTCTTAAATACAATATTAGACCAAAAGTGTATAAAATGATATGCAAGCATGTCAATTTTATCTCTTTATTATGATTTTTTTGATAATAATAATATAGCTATAAAGCTATTTATAGCTTCTTCATAGTGAGTTTTTTCTTATATTAATTAAACATAATAAATCACATTTTAATTTATTTCTAACTACCTATAACTATCAAAGGTGGTTTTAACCACTTTGTCTTTTAATCACATGGGCGGCTAATTTCTTTGCCTTTTCATACTTTCCTATCTTTTCTAATCTTATTTATACTTGTTTCTATAAATTGATTTTTTACACTAAATTTTATTCTTTCTTTTCTTCTTTTATATTAGTCTATTACATTCACATTCTTTGTAATATATCTTCTTAATAATATCTTTATTAATTATTAACACCAAGGATAAAATTACTTTTTTCCCCTCAAAAGTAATCGATTATATCCAATTAAGCATTAAGTTAAGTTATGTTGAACATATTGTGTTCTTTCATTTTTTATTTTCTATTTTTTTCTATTTTTTTTCATAAATAATAAATTTCTTGAGCTTTAGCATTTAGATTTTCTTTCAATGAATTTATCTCACATACTAAGGCTTGTTTTTCCTTCCAAAATCGCTTTTTATTAGTTTTAAGAAAAACTAAATCATCTTCTTCCATGTGACTTGCATTGAGTTTGTACGGATATCTTGAAATGTCTTTTTAACTTGTTTGGATATGTTGTTGTATCCTCCAAGTTGGTACGGAACATTTTTCCATAATTTCTCTTTGTATTGTGTTGTAACATATGAGATACATGCAATTCATGATCATTTAAATAATGTAGTAAAATCTAACTCATTCTGCAAATCAAAACTCAAATCCTGATTAATTTTTGATAAAAGGTGGCCATCACGAAGATGCCACCCTTGTCCACCCCTGTTGTCAACGGAAATTTGAGGGGACGGGGGGTCACCTTGGATCTCTCCAGCGGGGGTGTACAATAACCTAATTGGTCTTTGTCTGTCTTGAGAAGAATAGAGTGGCCGCCAAGGCCACCATCCTCCCGTCCACCTCTTCTAGGGATGGATAACTGGCGGCCGCAACCACCATCCTGTTTTCCATCCATGGAAGGAAAGGATGGTTGGCCGCGGAAACCATTCTCCTCCCTTCTATCCCTGGATGGGGTGGATGAGTGGCCGTTGAGGCCACCTGTGACCCCATAAAACCGAGTCCCCTTGTCGTCTTCTCGCATGATAGGCTTGTCATTGGAGTCATACCTGTAGGGATGTCGTTGGAAGTATCGTTTGGGGATTGCATTATAGAAATTTGAGTGTTGCTAAGGCTGGGCGTGGAATGATGAGCTGTTAGTGACGAAGTCGGCCCGGTGATTTATATGGAGGCGTCGAGATTGCAGGATCGTTCCTACTGGGTACCTCATAGATTTTGCAGTTAGTTTTAAATCCCATTGAGTTGCTCTTCGCGGTCTTGGTGGTACTATATTATGTTAAATTGCTTCTCGGCATGCTGTGTTAGTGTGTATGTCGACACCAAGACCTTTGAAACTGGGTTTTGTAGGGTGTCCTAATATACATTCACGGAAAATTTGATCACGAGGTGCTTGAAGCAGCAGCTCTTGACCAACATGCTTTGTCAGGGTACAAAACGTATCGTCACCATGGAGTGAACAGTCAATTTTGATCATTGCTTTAAAATTTGCTCCGAAAGTGACTTCCGGATTCCAATCGGTAAAGAACTCCAAGTGGACCAGTGGAGGTAAAAACGATGGGAGGACAGAATTTTTACATCCATTCACCCATTTACCGAATTGTTTCGTAGTTCAATAGATTTCGAAGTTTTTTGTATCAACCCAAGCCATATTAATAAGCGCATCTTGATCAAAATCCTTTGATTTGATTGGATAAATATCCGATGATGAGTGCTCCCGTTGAATGTTATGCACCAAAGTGCCAATCTCATACTCTCCCAGAGTTTTTCCGCGAGGTACTTGGATATTGTGAATTTCTGGTTTGTGGGTCTGATTTCGTAAGAGGTTGCTGGTCGAGACCTGTGAACTCTGCGGAATCCCTGCGTGGTTCATACTCATGATTATGGACTGAACCCTCTTGTGCTTCTTCTTGGGTTGCCTGATTTGATGTGGTGGCATCAATATTCAATACTCGGCCAGCACCCGTGTCGGATACCCAGCCAACGCCCATGTTGGATACCTGGCCAGCACCCACGTTAGATACCCTTCCAGTGCCTACGTCGGATATCCGGTCAGCGCCCACGTTGGATACCTTGGTTGTATATTCTTTGTTATTTCTACTGAGATCGATAGGAGTAATTAACTATTCTGTAATACAATGTTGGTTTTGTGGAGAACTAGGTTGCAAATCATTGAAAATAGACCATAAGATTGCTTCAGTTGTTAGTATCATCTTTCTTCTTGTTTCATGGATTTTATCCTTGTCTTCTTTTGCACTTTCTAGCATTGTCACTTCTACTCTTCATTGTTGATATGATCTAATAACCACTAAACTTGCTTAGCTGAAAAGTCTTCATCACATCTTGAACTATCTAAACCATACCTTATACTATTTTCTATTTTTGAGTTATCAGTAATTTACTTAAATTTTTCTGTCATTTAGTAGTTGTTAGATATTGTTGGTAAACTTCATTTGTTCTTTTTCTTTCCATTGATGTTGGCAATGTAATAATATCCATTCTATGATCTGGATAACTAACTTGGGTGATGAGATTTTCTTTTTTTGTACATTTTAGTGTAACATCTTTGCACTTACAATCTTCATGTTTGTTATACATGATCCCATCTCTATTCTTTCTTGTAGTTATTATAGGCTCTTTCCATATAGTTGTTAAATCCACAATTTTTGTACTAGTATTGTTTAATATAGAAACCTTATTTACACTATAATTTGTTCTACCATCTATTTTATAGATGTAAACTTATTTAGGTCCAATAGGCAATGTTTGATAATTGTTAATTCATATTAAGCTCATAATACAACAAAGATATTAGAATGATTAAGAATATTAATATGATTATAGAAAGATATGCATAATGGGTTGGAAAGCAATGCAACTTAGCAAATGTATGCAATGGAGAAAGGATATAAGGTAGAACACTCATTTCTAATAATTTAAGCATTTCATCATACATCTAGTAGGTATAAAAATAGAAAAAATACTCCAATATATAGAAAATAAAAATCAAAAGAATTTTGAGTAGTTTCATATAATTTGCTCTAAAAAGAGAATTTATATATATGTTTTAGCTGAAGATTTTTTTCAACACATTTTGGATATACAAGCTTATATATACTATTGATGTTGGATAACAAAAACCAAAGATCTAATTTTTACAAAATCATGGTATATGGAATCTATTAATGCTATGAAGAGAAGTTTAGCATCTATTAATACTATCAAGAGAAGTATGATACCAATTAATGCTGTTAAGAAAAATGTAGCACCTAATTATACTATTATTCCACCCCAACCAATCAACAATTGCCACCTATTGATAATTCATACATATCCATTCCAAATACAATTTTTTACATTTATTGCTTACATCTTAACATCAATTTAACCAACCCCAACTTATTTCCAATCAATAAAATAGCAAATCTAGTCAATGGACAAACAAAATTAGATCAACCAATATATTAGAAATGAAAGGGTGGTCAACAATGGGTTGACTACCTTATCCAAATTGTGACCCAAGGAGACTTGGCAATACTAACATACCAACAATAAAATCAAGACTACATGATGATCACTCACAGGTGTGAATGGGGGTGGAATCATGGGCTGAGGCTCACTGGGTCTTGTGGCGTTGACGGCTTCCGAGATGCCCCTCTCCTCCCCAGCCCTAACCCTACTCTGCTCTGCCTTCGTCCTCCTCCGCTCCTTTGCCTTTCCCCCGCCCTCCTCATCTTCCTTCGTCTTCATTCCTCTCGTGACTCTCGCCACGCCCTTCCTTCCCCATGCCTGCAATCTAACGCATCACTGCCATCTCCACCACCACGCCACTTGCACTGGAACCCGCCCCTTCCCTCGCCTTCCGTTTCTCTGCCTGCCTGCCTCCCTCCCTCCCAGGTATGTATGTTTGCTCTTCTCACCTTTCTTCTCTTGCTCTTTCGATCTTTGTTTCTGCACAGTGCTCCCTCCTCCAGTGCGGCAATCCGGATCTCACAATTCCCATCCAAACCTGCTTTCTCATTCCATCTCATATCCATCGTCTGTTAACTCCTTTACACTCCTCCACTTGCCTGATTTCATGGCGTTCTGGGGATCTCTTTGCAGCCCCGGGTTGGTGTGCCGCATGCTTCTCAATTTTGATTGTTCCCAATTCTTAGGTCCAACTTTGCAAATTCATATTCTTAGGTCCAGTTCAGACTTAAGTTACCGTAGGCTGATCTGTTATGACATCAGCACTTCGTTTCTAGTTAGGAGGGTCTGCATGCAATTTTGTTTTATTTTTTGCGAATGTACTTTTTTTTTAATTTTTATCGGGAACGAGGGTCTATCGATCTGTACCGTGTCACTTTCGTTGCTGTGGTTAACTGTATGTTTGTCAAGTTCATGCCTATAGCTGTATGTTTGAAACGGAGAATATTTTTCAGAATTCGACATCCAATCACATGCATGGTTTTCAGACTGTTTGGAATGTAATATGAATTTCCGCCCTTCTTTGTGCTCTACATAGCGGCCAAAAGTTGTGTTAATTTACGTTCTGGATGACTGTGCAGTCATGGAATAGATCCCCAGGCTGCCTTTCTCATAGCAGAAGCCTTGTTCTTTGCGTGGTGGATGTGTGGCATATACGCAGGCTTATTTCGGCAAGAGTTACAAAGGAGATACCACCTCCAGGTCAATTATTTTCATACAATCTTGTTTTTAGTTCTGTGTGTAAATCGATTGTCTATGATGAATTCATGACACGTATTTTACCATCCTAATGCTTTGGGGGATGGGTAGTATATGCACAATTTCCAGGTAGTATATCCCGTTGACAAAGAACTGAGTATGACATAATCACGGCTAGTGGCTGATTTGTATAATGTGCCATTGCTGCAGAACTGTCCATGCGAACCGTGTACCGTCCATTGCTGTTTGCACTGGTATGCACTATGTCAGGAGCATCGCGAGATGCAGGGACGTTTATCGGACAACGTGGTGATGCCCATGACTGTTATCAATCCTCCGCCTTAGCAACAGATTAATTTTGAAGAATCCGCAACAGCAAGCGACTCGAAGCCTGCCCAGATACAAGATACAGGCTTCATAACGATCTATATTCTGAGCTGGTGATATTGAATCTTAATCCTTTATGAGGTAGGAGCTCAATTCAACAAGAATTGCTTATCGTGCTTGATATCCAATTCAACTGGTGCACCTTCCTCCCCATATTGATCGAAACAACTATGTAGTTTGTTTGGAATAATAGGAGAAAATCAACTTAGGTGACGGTTAAACCATTTACATCCTGAAATTTCAAGCCTTACAGGCCTCATAATTCATTGGGTTGAAAAATAGTGTTTGAATGGTTTTCTAATTACCTCAATCCCTCGTGCATTCTCTTCAAGTACCCTTTATAAGTTGGGTAAAATGACAACAAGCAACTAGTAAGAAATGCATCATTTGCATTTGGAATGGGTACGCCAACTCGTATTACATACTTGTTGGGTGAGTGATGTAGTGACATGATGGGAGTGAATTACGGGTTTTGTTCTTTGTGTACGATTTCTTCTTAAGCTCCTTGGTTATATTTGCTAAAATACTTAGGATATGCATTTAGGAATACATATCCTAAATGCATTCAGCAATTAGTAAAAAAAACATTACTTTGAATTTATCATCTCCAATGCGTCTACATTCCTATTGAATTCTTATTATCTATATATTGTTGTGGTGGCTTTGTCTATTGAAGTTTTTTGATTATTATGTGTGCAATTGGCAATATAGTGCCTCTCAAAAGTGCTTAAACTATATGTTATTGACTATTACATTTAATTTTCTTTATTTTGTGCAGGATTAGTGGTCTTACTTTACAAGAACCATTTGGGCTTAAATACATTCACTTAAGCAAGTGAACATATATATCAACATTTTCAATATTGTGAGGACAAGCCATTAGGATTATTTAAGATTGATGGTTTAGCTTTAGAAATATAAATTCAATTTGTAGGATAGAAAATTGTATGGTTTGTGGGATAATATGGTTGAAAGAGTGTTTGATAAGTACTTTTGAAATACCAAACAAATCTAATATGTAATTTTCAACAGGTGGTGAGAAGGTGAAATTGGATTTGATTTTCATTAATTCATCATGGAATATTTTTTGGAATTATTCAAGTATTATATAATCACGATTTGGAGCTTTTTACATGGTTTTTTCATGTCAAGATTTTCAAGCACCATGGAAAAATATGACAAAATATCAAGTATGCAAGGTATTTTTGGAGATACTTGGAAAGGATCTGAAGTTTATATTGGAGCATTTGAGGTTTTATTAAACAAAAATAACTTATTGAATAAAAACCAATGTGCACATTTGTGTAAGAAAATTGAACATGTTACTAAGGTTTTTGACCACCTCATGACTTGCACCAATGGTGGATTGGAGTTTAGGCTTTTAATGAGTGAGTTGTTTTTTATACTAAATAAATCTTTTTTTCTAGTCGAAAATTGTGGAAGACCAAATTGGTGTAAAGAAGCTATCCTTCAATTAAATAACAAAGAGACTTTTAGAGAATTACTTTTGGATTTGAAATGTTGTTGTGATATAGCAAGTGATATACTTTTAAAGAATTATTCTAAAAAACTTGAGGACATCTCATTTGCTACTTTTAATGTTGCAACATATGATGAAGTAGAAGGTGATGTTAAAGTTGTATATGAGAGGTTGAATAATGTAAATGGAATAGATGATTTTGAATATTGTGGACTAGCAAATCATCTATTAAAAAGATTAGAAGATTTACTTCATATAGATGATGAGGAATTGGATGATTTAAAACTATCATCTAACATAGAGAGTCTTCAATTCATAAAAAGAATAAGTGAGGGAAGTTTTGGAGCGGTTTATGAATCAAAGTGGTTGGGAGTTTTGTGTGCAATCAAAAAGATGGATGTTGCATTTAACAAGTTTTTTAAAAGAGAAGTGACCATTTTAGCCAATTTAAGCCACCCCAACTTGATAACATATTATTTTGCAATGAAAGGTCATGCAAATGAAAGTGGTGAATCTTTTGAGTTAGTATTTAAAAAAGACTATTTGTATATTGGCATGGAATTGATGCAAACAAATTTAAATGACATGTTGGAAAATACAAAGCAAACATCTTATGTTTTTCTTATTGATATTATATATCAAATTGCAAAAGGGATGTGTTACTTGCATGACATGCACATTGCACATCGTGATTTAAAACCTCAAAACATTTTGGTTAATGTCATAGAGATAAAAGTTATGAATAAGGTTATTCAACATGCTATTGTGAAAGTGATAGATTTTGGAATATCTAAGATTGAAGTTGGAAGTAATCCAGAAACCACAAAGAATGAAGTACCTTATGGTACTGTTGCATATATGGCCCCTGAGGTATTGAAAAGCAAATTTGAAACAATAACAATGTGTCCTTTTGAAGCAGATGTTTATTCATTTGCAATGGTATGCTCTAAGATTCTTTCAAAAAGAGACCCATTTGATGGAGTTTATAAGATGGAAGCAATATTAGAAAGAATTGAAAAAGGTGAAAGACCAAAGTTACCTTCAAATTGTAATGAGTTGATTGAGCTTATCCAAGAGTGTTGGATGTTGAATCCTTTGCATCGGCCAAAGTTTGCAAATATTTGTAAAAGATTGGACTTAATAAAGAAAAAGTTTTTAGTTGGAATTGAAGTGGCAAATGCACCATATTTTGGAGAATCAAATAAGAATTGTCATCAAAGCAAAAGATTTCAGCCAATACATAATGAATTGCCATTGGTAAGACTTATACTAGAAACCAAAGTAAATATGTCTTTGATTAAATGTATCAATTATTATTTATAGTTTTTTTCTCACTCTTCTTTAAATTAATGGTGTTTACATGCCTTTGTATGAACTCAAGTTAGTAAGACTAAATTAAAATGTAATATATGTATTATTCTTATTTTTTTTGTTAATTTGTGGTTAAATTTGTTAATTGTAGGTTGAATCATCTGGAGAGGAAATATTTGGTAGAGCACAATATTTATCCCAAATTAGAAAACTATGTGCAAATAAAGTGAAGGTATTGTATCTTGTTGGAATGGGTGGAATAGGCAAGACCACAATAGCAAAGACTACATTGATTAATGTAAAAAACATGTATAATGCCTCATGCTTTGTTGAGTGCATTGAAAGTGGAGGTGATTGCTATACAACTTCTTGCAATATCTTAGAACAATTTCAAGTCAAAGAAAAACCAAAAGATGTAAAAGAAGCTCATAAAATATTAAAATCATTTTTAACAAAGAACAAAACAATTTTGGTGTTTGACAATATAAAGAATCAAAGTCAAATTGAAGATGTTGTGCCTATGGATGACATATTTGCTAGCAATGGTAGCACATTGATTGCAACAACTCGAGATTCAAATGTAATGAAGGATTGTGGCAAAGAGATTTATAAAATAAATATTGAAGAACTTGATGAAGAAACAAGTATGAAGATGTTTATTACTCATTCATGTGGCCAAAAAAGTCTACCCATTGAACTCGTTGAGGTTGGCAAAAAAATTGTAAGAGCTTGTAATGGCCTACCATTGAGTCTAAAAGTTATGGGAGCATTTTTAAGAGAGAAGAAAAGGTTGAGATGTTGGGAGCGAGCTTTACAAAAGTTGAAAAGGGGAAGAAAGTTGGATGGAGATGAAAACAATAGTAACTACAAGATTTGGAAGATATTAAGAGTAAGCTTTGACAATTTGAAAGTAGAAGAAAAGAAAATGTTTTTGGACATATGTTGTTTCTTTTGTAATGATGTTTGTCCACAAGGCATGTCAAAAGAAAGAGCTTTGCGAATATGGGTAAATAATCAAAATAACATATTGGAACATGAAATGGAATTTACTTTAAATACATTGATTTATCAATCATTGATAAAATTAGACAAAGATGGAATTATAAGAGTACATGATCAACTACGAGACATGAGTAGGAATATTGTTGAAGAAGAAATGGAGTATAAATATACAAGAATGTGGAACTTGAATATAGATCCATTTTATGGATTATCAAACAAGGTAATTTTACTAAATTATTATATAAATTGCATGTAAAAAATTGATAATAATATAAAAGAATCAACATTTAAAGGATGGAATTTTTAGTTTTTATACTATGTAATTTTTATTTTGTTTCTTTAGATGTATGTTGATGTGAAATTACTATGTAAAAAAAATAATCTTCTATTGTAATTAGATTTGTATGTATATTAAGTGTATGATTAATATGAAAATTCTAATATTTTGTATACTTAATTATGTTGATTTACAGTTGGAGGGATTATTTTACAACAACATAAATAATAATAATATTGGCAAAGTAAGAAGTGCTTCTTTTTCATCACTTCAATTTTTAAGTTGTAATATTGGTGTCTTTGCACCTAAAATTGTGATAAAGATATTAAGCATATTTTTTGTCTTGGTAAAGAATTCTCTTAATTTGAGATGTTTTCTACTTAACATGCCATTGGAATATGAATTTAAAAAAGAAGAAGCACATAAAGCATTGCAAATGCTACATGACAAAGATGTTTGGAAAAAATTTGGGAGTTTAAATGTGTTGCAATTGAGAAATTGTTCTTTTATAGAAATACCTCCAAATTTATTTTATAAAATTACCACATTATTAGAACTTGACTTAGGAGGATGCTCAAACTTAACTATGCTACCAAATGAATTGGAGTATATGACTTCTTTAAAGATACTTAACTTACAATATTGTGAAAGGTTAAAATTATTACCAACATCAATAGGAAGTCTTATTTCTTTAAAAGATCTTAATATTGAAAATTGCCAAAGCTTGACATCATTGCCAAATGAATTGGGCAACCTCACATCTTTGACTTTCTTAAATATGAAGGGGTGCTCAAGCCTGACATCATTGCCAAATGAATTGGGCAACCTCACATCTTTGACTACCTTAAATATGAAGGGGTGCTCAAGCTTGACATCATTGCCAAATGAATTGGGCAACCTCACATCTTTGACTACCTTAAATACAGAGGGGTGCTCAAGGTTGACATCATTGCCAAATGAATTCGGTAACCTCACATCTTTGACTACCTTGAATATGACGGGGTGCTCAAGCTTGACATCATTGCCAAATGAATTGGACAACCTCACATCTTTGACTACCTTAAATATTAGTTGGTGCTCAAGCTTGACATCATTGCCAAATGAATTAGGCAACCTCACATCTTTGACTACCTTAAATATGTGGGGGTGCTTCAGGTTGACATCAATGCCAAATGAATTGGGCAACCTCACATCTTTGACTTCCTTAAATATGAAGGGGTGCTCAAGGTTGACATCATTGCCAAAGGAATTGGAGAACCTCACATCTTTGACTACCTTAAATATGTGGGGGTGCTCAAGCTTGAGATCATTGCCAAATGAATTGAGCAACCTCACATCTTTGACTACCTTATATATGGAGGGGTGCTCAAGGTTGACATCATTGCCAAATGAATTGGGCAACCTAACATCTTTGACTACCTTAAGTATCGGAAGGTGCTCAAGCTTGACATCATTGCCAAAGGAATTGGACAACCTCACATCTTTGACTACCTTAAGTTTGAGAAGGTGCTCAAGCTTGACATCATTGCCAAATGAATTGGGCAACCTCACATCTTTGACTACCTTAGATATTAGTTGGTGCTCAAGGTTGACATCATTGCCAAATGAATTGGGCAACCTCACATCTTTGACTACCTTAAATATTAGTTGGTGCTCAAGCTTGACATCATTGCCAAATGAATTGGGCAACCTCACATCTTTGACTACCTTAAGTATCGGAAGGTGCTCAAGCTTGACATCATTGCCAAATGAATTAGGCAACCTCACATCTTTGACTACCTTAAATATGGAGAGGTGCTTCAGGTTGACATCAATGCCAAATGAATTGGGCAACCTCACATCTTTGACTTCCTTAAATATGAAGGGGTGCTCAAGGTTGACATCATTGCCAAAGGAATTGGAGAACCTCACATCTTTGACTACCTTAAATATGTGGGGGTGCTCAAGCTTGAGATCATTGC